CTCCAGATCCGTTATGATCTCTGCCTTCTCTCCTATGGGGGTACACGTAATCACACAAGAGAACCCACACACATCAGTAGGAAAAGATATGTGAGCAGAGCAAATAAACCAGCCTACTATAACATTCAGAACGGTATCACGTCCTGTTAGTTTCTTTGAGAAGTAGTGTGGATGGAAAATGTTTGATTTAAAGAGCTGAAAAAAGCTTTTAAAAGTACATATTCGTTAAGATCTCAAACATGTAATGCATGCTGAACCTGAAATATCTTAATGATGAGTTTGTGAGGCTATTTCACCTACCAAGACCAGATTTTGAGGTTATGTATCTACGCAGTGGAAAATTGCTGAGATTACTAAAGCCAGAGACCTAGAAGGAAACTTCACTCTTTGCCCTCTTAGAGGTGACTGAGAAACCAATTCTTAATGTGAAAGAGAGAGGTTCTAAACATTTTGTTTGGCAAGTGCACACAAATTTAGGTCATGATTTAGGGTCAGAAAACAGTTTTGTATACAATGTGTAAAGCACAGTTTAGTTCAGCTTAAGAGCTTGATCTTTCTCCTGTTTCACTCAACTACTTAACCAAAGTTGTTAACCCAACTCGTATCAGCTGCAATTATAGGAAAGCTGCAATTTTTGGACTATGTATTTCTAATGACTAAAACAGCACTGATCATTGCCCTGATTATTTAAATACTGCATAACTGAGGTCATCAGCTTTGCAGTGATTTGGGATTAAGGGGAAGGGAAAGTGTCCTTTATGGAAATGTCTTCTATTTTCCTTCCTTGTCAAAATACTCATGATGCTCACACCTCAGAGAGGTTAGTGCTTTTATCGCCCAGACAAAAACACTGCTGTAGAACCTGGGAGCCAGAATTTAACCAGTAGGTGCCACCGATTCAAATTTAATGGTGCTGTTACTGAAAAGCTGGAAGTCAACAAGCTGAGGATAGCCACTTGCCAAGAAACTTTACAAGTCATTTGGCTGGAAAACAGACAAATTTCAGCTATTTCTATTAAGTCTGTGTTGGAATCAATGCCCTCCTAACAATTTTCCAATGGGAAAATACCGCATCAAAAAGCTTTTGACTTTTTTCTCCTCATCATTCAACCAGTGACACTACGCCTTATGTACAATGCACTATTCAAACCCTTGTCCTGAATACCAAATAAATAATTTCTTTATGGGCATTTTTGTGGCATGCGATGCTATAGCACTGAAATGTTTCAGAGAGACCAGTAAATTTGTCTTCCTTACTTCCCTCTAATATGAAAATCATTTTACTCCTATTACAAAGAAAAAAGTAAGGTGCATAGAACCTGAGCTGCCTAGGACCTGATTTATCAGAGCATTTGGAATTACATAAAATATTTTTATTTCAAAGCCATATTTGTATAGACTACATCTGGATCTGTGAGTACTCAATAATTCTGCAAGTCAGGCCCAGGTGTTGAAAAGAGTACTTGAAAATGAGGAACTCAGAACTGGTGGCTTTCTAAAAGCTTTACCTCTTGAAACCAGATCTGAGAAACCAATTTCAGGTCCTACAAGATCAGCATCATATGGGTGGAATGAGTAAGGCATCAATGAAGCCTTCGGTATTTCACAATGGGATCTGAAATACTCAGCAAAACGATGAGAAACAGTTTGAAGTCAGCACTCTTGACATGCAGCAGGTGCAGCTCATCCAGATGAGAATGAGGATGAATCTTGGAAACATGGAAACTTGGAAAAAAAATCTTAATGAGTCTCACGGAGTGTCTTATCTCTTGCAGAAAAACTGCTGGGGGACAGGAGACATGACACTGTTTATGATGGCTCCTTTTACGAAGATTCTCTGTTGTCTTTTCTTTCAGAGGACCGAATAGGATTTGCTGTAATCTGGTAATATGATGATTAGAAGAGAAACACTTCTCTAAGTGATAGCCTGGTGGTTAAGGTCAGGAAATAGATGCCTCAGGTTTCCTCCCTACTCTGACCATGGGGTTTATATCTGAGCAGGAGATTGTTTTAACCACAAACCTGCTGCATACCACCCATATTTCACATCAAAACGAGCAATAAAAAATATCTATATGACAACTCCGGGGAAGACAATACACCATGCAGGAGGGCAAGAGATTCTCTAGCCTAGACACAGCGGCAGTCATCTGTAAGAAGGAGGACATGGTCTGGACTCTGCTCTTTAAATTGGGCCTCTGTGGTTATCCAGTGACTACTTAATATGAAGCAGTGCCTTTGAAGATGAAACTACAGATCATGTCTGTGCCTAGCTGAATGACCTAGCCACTATATTTCAGATGTTTGCTCCCCTTTTGTCCAATGACTATTGCTTTCTCTTCCATAAAGGCGCAACTGCAAATGATAGGGTGTAAATCAGCCCTGAGTGTAGTAGCTAGTATACTTTCAGGAAAGGAAGTAGATAAAGCTTTGAATACCTTCCAAAGAGAGTGCCAAACACGCATACTCTTTCTTCTAGGAGAGTGCTCTAGAAGAGGGGTGACACTATTTCCTCCTCCTCGACTGTGCTTGAAAAGAAAGCACTTGTATTTTTTAAGGAAATCCAATCTTAATGATATGTTTTAAGTATGCTTCTCATTGGCATTAGGGCAGCTCACTCAGTTCTGTCAAAATCTAATTGCTCCATAAATAGCTGTCATTAAATACTGTTACATTATGTCACAAGAAGCAACTATTATGGGATTACAGTCAGTGGCTGTATGAGAATTGTCCCCACTTGGGGATGAAGCTCTGAAGTTCCACCCCAGCTCCACTTCAGGCACCAAAAAGTCCCTTTTGGAGATGCTCTTTTCTCAGCATCACCCAAGACTTTCAGGCAGAATCACAGACTGAATCTAATTCCATGGGACATCAAAACTACTCAGTCATCAAAACTACAAGGTCATTTTGTCTTTTCCTGTAGTCCTGTCAATGTGTGTCCTCCAACAGCAAGTGGATCAGGGCATCTACAGGCAACAGTTTCCTTTTGAATGGGCTATTGATTGTTTTTCTGCACTTAAGTATTCCTGTGCCCTGGATAAAATGTAAAGTTTCCCTCTGTAATATCTACACTGATGTGATTGAGGGCTATACGACAGTTCACATGCACAAGGGAGCTTTTACTACACTAACTCTATGTCAATATTAGTAAATTAAACACTGTAAGGACCTGGGCTCAGGCCTCAAAATTCATTCTTTTGTGCAGCTACAGTTCTGGCACAGTTCTGGTTCACACCAGCTAGTACTGTCTCAAATAACTCTGGGCCCCACACAATAATTCTGTGCAGGTTAGGAGTTACCATAGACCAAAGACCATTCCCAAAAGGAAGCTTAGATGCAGTTATCTTGTTGTGCAGGCTGAGAACAGTAATTATTACAGATGTGTCAGATAGCTCAAAAGGACAGGGAATTAACAGTCCCAGTAAACGGACGTAGTGCAAAATACGTTGTTGCCTGACGCTGATGATGTTAGGCAACAACATATTTTCTGTCTACACCACTAGAGGGTGCAGACAAGCCTACTCTGCCTTAAAAATTTAGTTATTTTGAAGATTACTGAGACTTGGATGTTTCAGGTTTCACTCCAAGGTCTTTGAGGAAATGAGCTGAAAGGATCAAATCTTGCTATCTCTTACAACCCACCTACTTCAGCTGCAGTGTATAACACAAAGTCTATCTTTGCACCCCAACAGACTAGTGTCCAGACATCTCCCTCTGTCCTCATCTACTTCGGTTTCCTACTACCAGTTTTTCTCCTTTCTTTTTTTGTCTTTTCCCTCAGCATTTCTGTTCCTGTTTGTCCACAGTTTCGCTGTTCCTGTCCTATCTCTCATCATGCTTCTGCATTCCAGAAGGATTTTACTTTGATCCTCACATTGCCTGAATTTAACATGGAGAAGTAGTAAAACTACAAAAGACCAGATCAAACTGACATTGCTAGATTCAAAATATTCAAACAAAGAAAACTAAACCTCTGGGATATTTCTTATTAACACTTATATTTAGACAAAAATGGATTATATTACCTATTTTAACCCCATTTTAAAAATAATAACCCTAACTAAAGAGTCACTCTCAGGTTTCCTGTTTATAAACAGTAAGCCCAGAAGGAACACCAACTTGACCTTCCAGTTCCAGCTATCAAGAGCTGGCAGTAAGAGAAAATAATTCCAAACAACAATTCCAATTTACTTATAAAATTAGACTACTTCATCCAAAAAATTGTTGAGGCACAAGTCAAGGACCAAATACTCCCTTTTCTACAAAGTCATTTTTCAGAGGAGAGCTCCATTTTAGAGCTCTTTTTCCGCACTGCAAAAAACGTAAGAATAGAGTCAGGAATTATGCTCGATATGAAAATTGTCCTTCTATCCATTGGGAGGTTTTACGGACGTTAGTTGTAGACAGTGAAGCCCCCTGGACTTCTGCTTCAAAATAGCCTTTTATCTGGAAACAATGCAAATACTAAGAAAAATTATTAGGAGGTAATACATGTGCAAACACCAGTATGTTAATATACTGAGAAAAAAATCCTGGTGTCTCTTCACATTCAAGTAGGAGGACAGAGGGAGGCCACCACAATACAATTTCTTGAGGCTAGGTTGTAGGAAGCTAGGTTTCTCCCCCTCTAGCCACTCAACCAGAGCACAACAGTTTCCGGGGGGAACATAATTACCATACAAGGAATGACTTTTCTAGATTTTGTTTATTTTCCGTCGTATGCATACATCCTATGTATAATATTTCCATCCACTATGTACGAGATACGCCTTTCCCCTACAGAAAACTGAGGAGTACACCCTTTTCCCATGCCAAAGAAAGATACTGATCCTAAAGGACAATACTGAGTAAATGTTTTAAATCACTTAAGCTGGCCTCCTATTTGCTGCACTTGCAGTCAAGCCTGAGAGCAAAGTTGTCCGCACAGGCAGATGTATCCGAACAGAACCCAAACCTACCCCACAAGACACAAGGAAAATAAACATTTTCAGTAAACATACCTGAAGGAAGGTTATAAAATGAAGTCAGGAGCAGTGGAAAAGCTGCTGTTCGGTGATATGGAAGGCCTGGGCTCAGTTCGCTTTGCCCCTACAAAGCTGTTGTGTACTTTCATTTGAGCTATGCCTACGGGAATAATTGGGAAATGTGACTGCAGCATGGGTAGGCATACCTCGGTTAGGTTTCATCTAGCAAACCATAGTATTGATAGCAATGTGTTTCAGCGTAGACTACAAGTAGTTAGCAACTACGGGGTGCTAAAGGTCTTACAGAGCTGTAAGGAACATCTAACTGATTTATAACAATATCGATACTGATAAGACTGAGGCTGAGTGCTTTTACCCACAGCATAATCTCATCTCTAGCTATATGATGGCATGCTCTTGGCATTGTCTGAGCTAATTTATAGCTCTCTGCTATGTAGACCTGTGATTCTTGATTGTATTCTCTGCACTGGGGAGCTGTGAAAAGCAGGACACAACTCTGGTGTCCACTGGGATTCACCTTCTGATAAAACCGGGAGACAAATGGGACACCACCAGACTCAGGAGCCTAAAAGTTTTCCCACACCTACGATTTAAATATGATACATATATCTGAGTTTTCCATCTGTAGATGACAGTGATGAAACTTTTTTGGCTAACAGGGTGTTTTAAAGGAGAAATTCGTTAGGGATATCAAAGTACTACCATAATAGGGATCTCACAAGTAGAGTGAAGGTGATTTAGGAATGATACCCAAAAATCGGTGGGACTTATGTTTCTGAATCAAACAAATGCTATGGAAAACCCCGGCTAAGTTCCCTCACATGCCATACATAAAATCCAGAAAGTGTTTACACCAAACACTAAGCGCAGTCAAGCAGCCTGTGTCCAAACATTAAAATTGATTATAAGCAAATAAACAATTAAAATAAAAAAAAGCAAATGCCAAAAAACTGAATCTCCAACAAGCGATTTGACCCGAGGATCGTCATAACATTTAACTTTCTGTTGAGTAACCTGGTGACAGCACATTATTACAATAACTGCTCTACAGATGGCTATTTTATGCTTGTTTTTGAACTATTAAAAAAAACTTTCACAGAAATAGTCTCTCTCCCTGTCCATTAAGAGACAACAAATGCAGCATGCAAGAGTGCACTGTGTTACAAGACTTCCTGTTGGTGCCAGTCTGTCTGAGTTCAGTTTTTATGCATCAAAAGCCCTTGATGAAATTATATCTTTAATGAGATGATTGCACAGGCACTTCTGTATGTATATTTGTTTGCTGTGAACCTCAGGAGCAGTCTCAGGATGACTGTAATACATGACTCTGCAACAGTTAAAGATAGCCATCAGATCCAGATTTACAAACAAAACCAGTACAAAATTATTTGTTTTTTTCCCCTCAAAGTATGGATGCTCACTCTTCCTCCTTTTTAAAACACCAGTTGAAGTCACACTACATTTTTTACTGTTCTCCTTACTGAAAGCAAACTGTACATGTGAGAGCCCTTTATTTTGATAGTGATTTGTGCAGACTGAACTTCTTAAACGTAGCAGTAAGAGTTCTTCCATTCTTTTTTACTGCAGTATCTGCTGTAATAATGTTGACTTCTGACTAGTAGTAACATACATTCTTCTTTATTATTGCTCTGTTATTAACCCATGCAGTTCTTACTTTATTTCTAAAGTGCACAGTCATCAGAGACAAAGACACACATGTACGTCTTGTATTGCAATGAACTTTGTTCTCCCTTCAGATGTAAATAATAGGAGGGAGAAAGAATCAGTCCTTACTGAGCCTGTGTCCATTGAAAAACAATTTTGAAAAAACAATCAAGAAATCAAAAATGCACTCCTTACCTGATCTGGGATGTACAGTGCACCTTGAAAACCTCTTAAATGACAGAGAAGAATTAGAAAAGGTTGAAAGACTGCACTCATCCAACCACAGGGCTCAGGAAATGACCATGTATTTTGCAACGATTAACTCCTTCCTCCCTTCTGTCTTCACTTTTTCAAGTATAGTAAACAATCCTTCTTACCCTTCCACTGCAGTTTCATAACTAATGCCATGCCCTACACATGATTTGTATTTCATACAGAATATGTAGGTGGCCAGAGGAGATAACTCCGATCACCTCCATGGAGAAGAGAATTTGCAGTGTCTTCTGCATAACCGTGACAGGAGTATATTTTACTGTTGAGTGAAACTTATGTGATGAGGTGTAGAAATGACTAAGTTATGGCTTGAGTACTTAACTCTCATTTTTAGAAGAGGCTTAGAGCAATATTTGTGACATGACTTCTGTGCAGTCGTGCCCAACAAAGTAAGGTAAAAGCCGGTTATTTAAAGGAGCAGCATCCATTGCACTCTGGGTAGGCATCTGTAGTACGTAATGTAGAAAATACTTTAATGCATAGTGGGTCTTTAGGTGAAAGTCTGGCATGCTGGATTATCATCAGGGTCCTCTGTGCATAAAAAGTCCTTCTTGTCTCTAAGAGCATATTTCCCTTGGTTGGACATAACGGATCAACTGAAAGGCATTTCTGAGCCTAAACATTGTATGAAATCATTAGCATGAAAGCTAGTAAAGCCTAGTTCCAGGCAGGAGCACAGGTGAGACAAAGATTCAGACTGCCTTTCAAGTACAGGCTGCCTCCCATACGGAACCCAAAGCAGGCACCCAGACTCTCTGTGTAGGCGCAGGGGAGGATAAGAACTTCAAAGCAGATCTCACTTCACCAAAACAGCAGGCTGAGAAAGCAAACACGTAAACAATTTAGACTGAAACACTGAAGACAGACATGTGTTTTGCATCCTTCTTTTTATGATTTAGAAAATGAGCCCTGAACATCAATATGCCCCTTTCCATAGCTCTGAAATATTTTTACCTAGGCACCTGTGTGTTTTATTTTAAAATGTGGGAAGTGTCACTCCCTCCAGTTGGTATGTTGGTAGAGGAAGAGAGAATAGAAATGTCACCAGCGTGCACTTCTATAAGACAGTTTCATAGCTCAAGTACCCAGCTAGGATGCAAGACAGTTGTTTTCAGTTTTGTCTTCTCCTTCAGAAGAGCTAAATCCATATTTTGTGCTGCCCACAGAGCAATGTCTTAACCACCGAGCTGCAGGATTTCTTGGAGTGGGAAGGGTAAGAGGAGGGACCAGGATCTCTCCTCTCTCTTGCATGGGACACTCACAGCTTCTTGTGGGCACAGAGAGGGAGGGAAGGCAGGTTGCTGGGGATGAGGTTCAGGTCCGAGTGCAGCTCCAAGAACTGATAGTGCCCTGCTTAAAACATGCCAAAAACCCACAGAAATCACCCAGACAGGGATCTAGCCCATCCCTCTTAGCAAAGCTGAACCAATAAAGCAAGACTTGATGGGTCAAACAGCCTGTGCTCCAGACATTTTCTCCATGGAAGAGTCATTGTAGGAACTACATAAATGACGCTAGTAACAAGGACCAGAACTTAGTGTTATTCAGTCCTCGGTGGATGGTATTAGAAAAAAGTTCAGTGGTGGGTATTAGAAAAAAGTTTATTTTTAGCAGATTCTTCTTACTTATAGGATCTAGTCACTCAGATCTTGGATTCCTCTCTGCAGAGTGGCCCAGCTTTAGGAAAAGGCACACATCAAAACACATCCCTCTGAGGAAGAAGTCCAGCAAAGCGGGCAGGAGACCTGCATGGATGAGCAAGGAACTCCTGGCAAAACTCCAACAGAAGAAGGAAGTACACAGAACGTGGAAAAGGGGACAGGCCACTTGGGAGGAATACAGGGACGTTGTCAGAGCGTGCAGGGATGCGACAAGGAAGGCTAAGGCCCAGTTGGAATTAAATCTGGCAAGGGATGTCAAGGACAACAAGAAGGCCTTCTTCAAATACATCAACAGCAAAAGGAAGACTAGGGAAAACGTGGGCCCGCTGCTGAATGGGGCGGGTGCCCTGGTGACAAAGGATACAGAGAAGGCAGAGTTATTGAATGCCTTCTTTGCTTCCGTCTTCACTGCTAAGGCCAGTCCTGAGGAATTCCAGACCTTGGAGAAAAGAGAGGAAGGCTGGAGAAAGGAAGACTCTCCCTTGGTCAAGGAGGATCAGGTTAGAGATCTTTTGTCCAAACTTGACATCCACAAATCCATGGGCCCCAATGGGATGCACCCACGAGTGCTGAGGGAGCTGGCAGATGTTATCGCTAGGCCACTCTCCATCATCTTTGAAAGAACATGGAGATCAGGAGAGGTGCCTGAGGACTGGAAGAAAGCCAATGTCACGCCAGTCTTCAAAAAGGCCAAGAAGGAGGAAGGGACAGGGGCCCCTGACGCTGTGCCGGCCCCGTGTCTCCCGCAGTGCTGGAGGTGCACCAGTTCGCCCAGGAGGCCGTGGTGGCCGACGCGTGGCTCCCGGCCCC